TTATATGTTGTTATCAGTTGAAAACAATAGAGCTCAGTTGTATTATGTTATAGGTTTTGTGAAGTGTAGAAATAATAATATCATTTGAATGAGGATGGATAAAAATTCAAAAGATTCTTATTGCTAGGATAGAAGCAAAACTTTTAAATTAACAGCAAATACAGGCGAAATGTGGATAATATTGGGTTGATAAGTAGAGTTATTTGGGTCATTTGTGCCTTTTCGTAATTGAGTTATTACATATTTCCTAGTATTCATTTGTTTAACTCTGGAAGTGAATAGGATCTACATTGAGGGAAGCACCAAAATGTGCTTTAAGATAAGACCTCATTTGGAATTCTCAGGGAAAAAGGAAAAGAGGAAGACTATGGAACATAATGCGCCGAGAAATGGAAACAGACATGAAAAGAATGCACAACAATAGGGCATAATTAAAAAGGAAGGAACGCGCAGGACATAGTATGTTGTAGAATACTGATCGGCAGCCTATGTTACATTTGGGGGTAACAGGCGTAAGAAATCTTCTATATATATGTTTTAACATCGTTATCTCAGTATTTGGAGGGCCTGAAGATGGATTTATTGGAAACAAATGAATTAAAAAGTTGTTTTTTAGAACTTAAAATTCAATGAATCAATTCTTCTATTTCTGATTTACTAGTCACATATTTGAAATGAAAAAAAAGTCATTCACGAATAGTATGATTTGAATATGATACTAGCAGTCTGTAGACCTAAAATGCTAAGTTCAAATCATTCAGCTGTTCTTTCTAAATAGTAAATTATTCGGTTATTTCTATCATTAACACAACGTCAGTGATTTTTCATGAAATAATGGTCTAATTATTGTAAGACAAGTTTAATGGCGGCCTATTTGAATATCTATGCTACTTGTTTCCTAACATCAAACTATTTCAATCAGTTATCCCTTTTTGTTAGTTTTAACATGTCTGTTATATCTATTAATCAAATAATCTATTCAGGCAGGTGTGATCAGAAGAGGTAATGAGCAGTGGCTTTATAAAAATCAAAAATGTACATTTCAAGATAATTCGATGTCTACTGAGAAAAGAATGAGCATGAATACGACATCGATTCCTGATTGTGATTTCGGCCATTATTATTGTTGAGACATGTTTTCTAATCTTTCCAGTTGTATCGATCAGAACATGGTACGTCAAGTCATTCATAGGGAATACGTCGTAGGTTGATTGATTGATGTTGGTCATCACTATGAATCAAACAAACATGAATTTGATTACTACTCAACTCGTCAATCAAACTAAATATCTAAAATAATTAGTCCCTTTTATAAATTTAAATGGAATGGTAAGATGTAGCTGACCTAAGAAATGTAATATATTTGCCCTATACATTTTGAACAATCTTGTAACACTTATTCAATATGCATTACGGGGTTGTGAAGATTGTTAAGTTACACATTTTTGAAACCATAAATCGATCAATGTTAGACCACCATTAGAAACCTGGAAGCACTGGACAGCCGTTTCGTCCTGGTATGGGACTCCTCAGCAGTGCGCGTCCACGACTCCTGCACCCCGCAGGACCCGAACCCAGGACCTTCGGTATTGTAGGAGAACGCCTAACCATCGCACCACTGAGCCGGTATCTGACGGTGTTAATGTCCAACTTGATCGATTCACGGAGTTGCGCAACCTCCTACACAGTCTTCGGTAGTTACTGTCTACACCCGAACAGGTTGAACTTCACTGGTCACGTCTTCTCACTAAAACTTGGAGAAGATTCCTCACGAAGCTAGTCACTAGTGAGCACAGGTAATTCGCATTATGGTGTTGTGAAGATTGTTAAGTTATACATTTTTTTAAACTTATTCAATAATCTTTAAGCCATTTTATGGCCTAGGATAACGTAACGATTTCCTACTCTTACTTACCCTCTCTATATAACGTTATTTTTCTCCCTCCTTCATTTACAGTTGTCACCTGATGACTATTTGAACTTTTATTTTAATTGGCTTTTTATTAATTTCACGTAAACTGCTTTGACAAGTTTGTGTGACGAGATTGTTCGAAATGTTAGGTGCAAATACGTCATATTTTTCAAATCAACTCTACGTCTTCTCACTGTTCAATGAAAATACATATCACTGAAATTATAAAAACCGATCATTGTTAGACCATCATTAGAAACCTGGAAGCACTGGACGGCTATTTCATCCTAGTGCATGACTCATCAGCAGCGGGCATCCACGACCCCTACTCGTGTGTGAACGCCTCACCTCCAAACCACTGAGTCAGCATTTGATGAAATTAATGTGAAATACATTTCATCTATCAGTCACTGTAGAAAAATCTCTTTTTATTTCATAGTTTTTTATTAGTTACTTATAACTTACGATATTTCAAAATCAAAACATTTCACAAACTTGTAAAGGTGAAAATTTTAAAACGTTTAGCATAGAAACATACTAACAAGATGTAAGGGACATCGAAAACAACCTATGAAATCTTGAATCGATGAAATGAATTCATATTATTTCTTTTGAATGCTTGTTCTAGTCAATGTCTACCTGATAAATTATCTCTATTAGTGAGTATTGATTTTATTCATTCAAACTTAAGAATAAATGAGAGAATCTTTACATAAAAGTTACATCTTTAATTTACTATTGACAGGTCAAAAGTTCTGTGAAAGGTTCCAATCTCGTTGAAGTTTATTTTATAAAGGTGTTTGTGAGTTATTCTCAGCACCAGATAACATTCAGAAATCAGCAGAGGTTAGACGTTGGCGCGCAGGACCTAAGGTCATGAGTTCGCTGCACAGGAGTAGTGGATGTGCACTGTTGACGAATTCCATATCATGACAAAACAATTGTCCGGTGCTTCCAGGTTTCTAATAGTGATCTAACAATGACTGATTGATGATTTCAATGTGTAGGTAAGTTATTATCAATTATATACTTCATAATGTTAACTAATTCTACCAACCTATTATTTAACCTCGTTCGAGGTGAAGACCAGTGTCGGACAAGGTTGTTTACTCTCACCCTTTCTCTTTCTCTTGATGATCGACTGGATTATGAAGACGTCAACATCTGGAGGGAAGCATGGTATCCAATGGACAGCTAGGACGCAGCTGGACGATCTGGACTTCGCAGATGACCTGGCTCTTCTATCGCACATGCAACAACAAATGCAAGAAGAGACGACCAGTGCGGCAGCAGTCTCTGCAGCAGCAAGTCACAATAACAAAATTCTCCGATGCAACACAACGTGCACCAACCAAATCACTCTTGATGGAGATGCCTTGGAGGATGTTAACACCTTTACATATCTGGGCAGCATCATCAACGAGAAAGGTGGATCCGATGCAGATGTGAGGGTGCGGATCGGCAAAGCAAGGGCTGCATTTCTACAATTGAAAAATATATGGAGCTCCAACTAAATATCAATCAACACCAAAATCAGGGTTTTCAATCTAAATGTCAAGACAGTTCTACAGTATGGAGCGGGAACTTGGAGAACTACCAAAGCCATCATCCAGAAGATACAAGCATTCATTAACAGTTGTCTACGCAAAATACTTCATATTCGTTGGCCAGACACCATCAGTAACAACCTACTAGGTGGGAGAGAATAAAACAGATTCCAGTGGAGGAGGAAATGAGGAAGAAGCGGTGGAAGTGGATAGGACACATATTGAGGAGAGATATCTTAAAATAATCTGTAAGAAATTTCCCCAAAACAATTTGCTATTTTATTTCTTATCTACTATACCAGTATGGTTTGAAAAATCAAACCTTGCTTTCCAACACTGTTAATAAATACATCAGACGATTATCAAACTTGATAGACTTTTATTTGAACAAACTAACAATTAATAACCCACGAAATTATGTGATAACATAAAATTCTTTTTGTGCTTTCATTAATATCACTGAATTTGTTAAAAATCTGTTCATATCTTAATGATTTTTTAGTGAAGTACAACCAAATCACACTTATACTAAGCACTATTCGATGATAAGTGGACATTGAGTAGTGGAAATGCTTACTGGATTCTACGAAGATGTGTAAAACATTCTGTATGAGTGATCAAAGTCAGATTTATCTAGTCTTTTAGTACTGATCAGAATGTTTCAACACACTTGTAGTATGGACACTTGCCTAAGTGATTGCATATAATATACGCTATGTTGGAAATAGACATTTAGGATTCACTGCTCGACTATGTCTAACCATTAAACAAAACATCGCATACTCTGTTATCTACAATTCTATTCAAGTAAAGTTGACGAAGACCTCGGCAAACAATTGTACGGTTCGTCACTAGGTACGCTTGAAGCTATTACGAGTTCAACTTAGTCGATAAACGTGAACGAGACAATTACCAGCGTCCAGGTAGGCTACCTTGAATCCAAAGCTGAAGATAAAAGGCTTTGTAAGCGTAGAAAGCATATTCTACAAACACCCAACAAGCACAATACAATCAAGCATACAACTCTCGTTTATTTATACATTGTAGAAACGTCCTTGGAACAGTTACGAAAATAGCACACTAAAATACACAGCAGCCAATCAGAGCCATGGATTTTCCCGGTGGGAAATGAAATCTCAAAGTCAGCTGATCAGCCCATGCTGACAAACGTGAAATTCAAAATAAGGCATTTAACAAGCGAGTTTTGGAGATCTAACATCCCCAACAACAATCCTTAAATCAAACTTTTTTCTTGATAAAGTTTTGTAATCAGTATCCAAACTACATAGCCAGAACTTCTCATGTATCATATCATAAAGACACAATCACAGAAATGATAATAAGTAATTCAGAGCTTATTTTATAACAAATCAACGTTTAGATGATTTTTTTTCAAAAATCGCATCTATCTTAACGACATTGGCCTTGTGTTATGTAATTTTTTGTATGATACAACTTTATATGATTGGCCAAAATTCAATATCATATGACTGATTGTATTAGTAAATATAACTATATAAGTTTATGGTTAAACTGCTCTTTTGTTTTTGGCATTATCAAGTATCATGAAACCAATTTTCATATTCTCATTATATTTTATTGTCTCATTTTATGAAATCACTTTAGTATTGGGATTAAAAAAAGATTTAGATTATTTATTGAAGACACACAATCAAATTCGTAGTTCTGTTAGTGCTTGTAAAATTGCTGGTCAACCAAAAGCTAGAGGATTAAAAAAATTGGTAGGTAATAAATAATCAATGTTATAATTTACAATGAATATCGTTATCTATATTATCATAAATATGTTTAGTCTATTTATGAGTAATGAACTGTTTATTTACGGAGAAAATTCTGCATACTTATTCATTTACTTATGCCTGTTACTCCTGATAGAGCATAGGGTGCTGACCAGCAATCGCCTACCTACTGTGTTCTGGGCTTCCCATTCCAGTTCTGTCCAATTTTTGTTCATTCTTCTTATCTCTGTCTCCACTTCTTGGCGTAATATGTTCCTTGGCCCGCCTCTTTTCCTTTCGCCTTGAGGATTCCATGTGAGGGCTTGTCCTGTGACACAGTTCGGTACTTTTCGTAGTGTGTATCCTATCCACTTCCAACGCTTCTTCCTGATTTCCTCCTCCACTGAAATCTGGTTTGTTTTCCCCCACAGTAGGTTGTTGCTGATGGTATCTAGCCAACGGATATGAAGTATTTTGCGTAGACAACTGTTCATAAATACTTGTATCATTTGGATGATGGCTTTGGTAGTTCTCCAAGTTTCCGCTCCATACTGTAGAACTGACTTGACATTCGTATTGAAATTCTGTACAGTTCATATGATATACACTATAAATACATTAATACAATGCACTTACTCACGTACTTACACCCGTTACCCCCAAAATGCAGCATAGGCCATCGACCAACATTCTTCAACCTACTCTATCTTGCGCATTCTTTCCTTTCTATTTATATCCAATGGTTGTTCATTCTTGTCATGACTGTCTCCATTTCTCGACGTAATTTGTTCCATGGTCTTTCTCTTTCCTTCTGACCTTGACGGTTCTAAGTGAGGACTAGTCTTGTGATACAGTTGGTCGCTTTCCTCAATGTGTGTCTTACTATCCACTTCTAACGCTTCTTAATAATGTCAACCTACTCTTTAACCTAAATGAAGTTTTTAATAACCATGTTAAAAAATAATTTACATCAATTAATTTTATTGATTTCCCTTTTTATTTACACAGATATGGGATGGTCAGTTGGCTTTAAAAGCAGCTGCATTATCAAATACTTGTTATTTTCGTTTCTCCAATGTAACAACTCCAAAATTTAAATATGTTGGACAAAATATTGCAGCTTATGCTAGTGTTGAAATGTAAGTTAACATTATTAGTTGGGTTTTTTTTCGAGCATGATAAAATGTCTACTTTTACAGTGCTATGAATGAATGGTTTCAAGAATATCAAGATTATGATTTTAAAAGGAATACATGCAAATCATCATGTGGAAATTATATACAGGTCAGTGTTGTTCTTCTATGACTTTGCACTATCATTAATTTATCAATCAATATTAAATAATTTGTATTCGTAGTTTTAATATTTAGATGATAAAATTTCTTATCGGTTCACTTTTTACTGCATAACTAATAAAGCATTGAACTTTGGTAAATGGTCAATGCATCGTTTTAAAGTTATTAAAAATTTCTAAGGATCTCAACTAAATTGTATAAATGTTAGGCACGTTAGATCCCCAGTACCGCCTTGATAAATGTCCTAATTTTGGATTTTATTCATGGACTGATCAGTTGACCTTGAGATTATATTTCCCACTCGGAAAATCTTTGACTGTCGTCATTGGTTGATGTATTATTTTAGTACGCTATTTGAGTGGCTATCCCAAGGACGTTTCCATCATGTATATATACACTCATCTTGTGTGCTTGTAAACCTTGATTTTCTGGATGCTTGTAGAATACACTTTCTACGTCTTGTCAAGACTTCTACTACTACTTAAAGGGGCCTTGGAACGCTTGGAATAGAGTAGTCTATGGTGTCACTGCATCATTTGTCTTCGTTCTCGTTTACCGAGTAAAGTGAACTCGTTATAGTTTTGAGCATAACAATGACCTGACATATAAATTCTGAAATTAATTAAAGAACGAATGACAGTTTATAGACATGATCAAGTTTATACACAAATAGTAATATTATATATAAAGGAAAGATAAATGATTTTAGATTACTTTAAATGACACATTTCATAAATTGTTTTCAGAATATATTTTTCACATAGATTAAAACAATTTATCAGACATCAATTGGAAACAATTAAGCGTTTTTACAGGGGATCATGGAGTCGCTTCGATAAATGAGCAGTTTGTTCAATGTACCACTCATTGTCATCAGAGGATTAATCTTGTAGTTCATAAGACGAAAAAAAGAGCTCGGAACAAAAGTAACACCATATTTTTGGTGAATTCTGTTGGATAATATCGATTGTTGAGAAGCCTAACTCTGGTTGATAGACGTCAAGAAAATGTGTCCTGATTTTTATTGTGGGAATCGGTGGATACTATTAGGTGTATAATCCACGTCATTCAGTGCCGCTATTACAATATGAACGAACTCGTTGTAAAGTTAAGGTATTCATAATAATCGGTGAAGGATCCAAACTGAGGTTTGGATTGAGGAATAACTGTCTAGATAGTTTAGATACGCGTCTTGACCAGTTGAAACCGAAACACGTGATTTGGGTAAATGACGGTTCTAATATTTATCACAAATAATAAATGTACATCATTACCTAAACAAATATTATCACTCAGTTATTCCACCAACAATTTCTCAAGTAATCAAATCCCTAGCAGATAAATGCTAATCTATCCCTCCTGGATAGATCAGATTCATTCAGAAGATAATATTTCGTTGCTTTAGAACACAGAATGTTTCTTATTCTGGAAAAGTTCTTCAATTTACAATCAAAATGCACAATTCCAGTCCATGCAAGCAATCCAATCAAAAGAGGAACAAATCAATATGGCTATCGCCATATATCAGCTTAAACAACATAAATGCAGTTTAGAAAGAAACATAGAAACTCAGTGAAGGTAGGAGAAATTGAAATTATAATAAAATACAAATATTATCATCTAAAATTGGATTCGAACAGATTCACAAAATCTATAACTGAAGGAATCAATAAGGACAAATTACAAAATGTATACATGGACGGATTTTCACAAACAAAGCCTTCATAAATATTAATCATTTATTTATTCTTATTCTTAATTTTTTAGATTGTATGGCAAGAAACAACACATATTGGTTGTGGAGTTACTTATTGCCCGAAAACTAAACGATTTCCTTATGGTGTATTTGTAGTATGCAATTATGGCCCTGGGTAATGAATGACAAATTTGCCTATATTATTTACTTGTTGTTTTAATCATTGAAGTAATTCAATATTCAATATTTTTTTAATATCAACAGAGTGGTAACTAATAACTATTGTAAATTGATACGAACTTTATGCGTACCGACTAATTTATTAAAAGTTAACCAATCTTAGAATGAAAGAAATGATAACAACGTCAACATTTGCATTACGGGGTTGTGAAGATTGTTAAGTTACACATTTTTGAAACTATGAATCGATCAATGTCTAACGGTTAAGGCGTTCGCGCACAATACCGCAGGTCCTGGGTTCGAATCATGCGGGGTGCAGGAGTCGTGGACGCGCACTGCTGAGGAGTAGTCCCATACCAGGACGAAACGGCCGTCTTTCAGTGCTTCCAGGTTTCTAATGGTGGTCTAACATTGATCGATTCATGGTTTCAAAAATGTGTAATAGCCAATAGTGTATGATAAAATTCATTGAAAAATCAACTACTATAAACTGTAATCAAAGTGATATTATCATATGACCCAAGATTAGAAAAGATAATTTCTCAGAAAGTATCTGAAATAAATCAAGTCAGAATTTCATAATTACATCATAAACTGATTTCAGTTGACGAATCATTAAACCTAAGAGCACTAGACTGTTGTTTCATTGTAGGGTGAGATTCGTTTACAGTAATCATCCACAACCCTAACGCAAGGGATTGAACCTCGATCATTAGTTCTCACTTGCCTACGTCTAACCTCTAGATCAATGAGCACAGATCTGGCGGTGTACATGCTCACTTTACATCAACTTGCAGTTAAGTGGTAAATTTCTTTACCTACGATAAGTTTAAACTGCAATTGTCATGACTTCTCATTTGAACTAAAACTAGTCCATCAGGTTGATTATGAAATTAAGAAAATCTCCATAAATCCATTATTGTAAATTCATTGTATCTGTTTATATGTTTATGATACTTGACTTTTTTCCGATGATCGTTAGATTTTTAGTCTGACATGCATGAACATTCATATAGAAATGTTGAACTAATCAAGGCAATTTAAGTGTCAATAATCACAATAAAGTAGATTACGTAACTACTACACATAATAGGTAGAAGTACAAGTTGACAATAAAAGCGCAAACCTCCAAAACTCTGCCCCAAAATATAGTAGGAAGATAGGTAGGTGTACTGTTAGTGGTATGAATAAGTTTTCGTCAATAGTTCGACATTGGAAGTAGTAGGTCAAAGGTGAATACATAGACTTGAAATAATAATAAGAATGTAAACAATATGAATGGAAACAGGCGAAAATCACTACAAATAAATACAGGATGTGAAAATAATACCAATAATAATAAATAAAATCGTTCGTTAAATTAAGTCCGGCCAAGAAAGGGCCAGGGATGTTACGGATTTCTTCTGAACACATAATTTGCAATTGAATGTTTGGATTCCTATGCCTTCTGTTGTATAAAGGAACCGGGATTGAACCTTGTTGAGAAATGATGGAAGTATACGACAGATCATTCGAAATGCTTCGGTTTTATCCATATTACGACCTCTCTCAGTCAACTCTGCCAATAGAGAACTGCATATTGTTTCTGTCTTCCTCTTTCCAAACTAATCAAGGAGATTTTCACTTACTCAATGGTTCAGTTACTTGACAGTATGCTTAATTTAGTTATCTCCACAGGAACAACTGCATTTACAAATTCACACTGAGAAAGTCGATTCAGGTAACTTGTCCTTCGTTTGAGTAGACATCGAGAGTCGACTAGAGGGAGTTAACACAAGACCACCTGAGTAGAATATCCTATCAATTGTTTTTTTTCTAATCTCTCATACAGGACATCGTTAGTCATATCCTTGTTGAATTTTTGTAAATATAAACAGTAATATAAATATACATTGTGGTGGAGTTTCGTTCTCTGAGCTGGAAAAACTTCAGATAGAAGTTTGAAGTTTGCGCTGATGCTGTTGTTCAGAAGTACAATCAAAACCCCACAACCAAAACATCCAGCTCAGAGAACAAAACTCCACCAAAATCCTCCACCTAAGCTACGAATTTTCTCCGTCGTCACATAAATATTCATGTTAATTAGAGTAAAGCCTTGTGACCATTTAGCTGAAAACAATATTCTTCGCTCGTAAAATGCATTGTTCTATCATTCACAATGGGAATCGTTAGTATACTTCTTTTCTCAAGAAGTAGTAAACTGTCATGTAATATCCAGTCTAGTCTAGTCTGCATCTAGTTTGTAATTTGAGTTTTATAGTAAATGCGCAACATTAAGTTCCTTTGATTTTCTGTTGTTGACACCTTAAATTAATGAGATTTCATCACAATCACTGAAATCTTTTTGATAAAAATTGATTGGGTAATTATTAGAAAAGCAGTCATTCTACGAATAATCTTGGTACACTTCAATTCTAAACTGTTATTTCTCAAATTCTGTATCGTTAAAATGATAACTCACTTAGTCTGCATCTTGTTAACGATAAGTAAACAAAATACATATTTTGAAATCCTGAATCGACCAAAGTTAGATCACCATTTGAAACCCACAAGCACTGGACAGCCATTTCGTCCTGGTATGGTACTAATCATCAGCGGTACCCATCCACGATACCTGCACCTCGCAGCATTCGAACCCAGGACCTTCGGTCTTGCGAGCGAACGCCTAACCTCTGAACCACTGAGCCGGTATCTAACGGTGTTAATGTTTAACTTTGATCAACAAGTGTAGATAAACACATTCATTTGATTTCTCTAGTTCAACTTAGTAGTGAAATGTGTAGTTTCTGCAGGTTTCTGCTTCAATATATATTACACACTAAGTATGAAAACTATTGTTTTTGTTATTGATTTTTCGTTTAATTTAATTCAAACATTTTTCATATTACAGGGCAAAGTTTGATAAAAGTCCATATGATGTAATCAGTTATGTAAAATGTCCAACTGTTCAATCGAAATGGCAACAAACTAGACTGAATGGTAAAAATTGTTTTTGTTATAAGTAAGACTGTTCATCACAAGTTTATTACGTAAAAGTTAATCTTCACAGTTAATATTTAAGATTAAAATAAAAAAAATTACATGACAAAAATACTTTTTAATTCGACAATTTTCTTCATAATTTTACACACAAAAAACCATGTCATAGTGAGTAGGAAATTTGAATTTCTGACATTGAATAAGTCAGTAATTGTTAATTAATATTATTACTATGATTGCTTGTGAAGGTATAAAATTAACCAGTTGTGAATATGTGGCGATTGGATTTTATTGGTCGTTGTATTAAACCTGCATCGTGAGTAAATATCATAGTGTTAGATCCCCAGAACTCACTTTATCAAGGAACTAATCTTGGATTTTTTATGTTTTCGCGCATAAACTGCTCAGTTGACTTTGAAATTACATGTCCCACTCGAAAAAATCCTTGACTGTCATGGATTGATGTATTTTTTTAGTACGCTATTTTTTTGGCTCTCTCAAGGACGTTTCTATCATGTATAAATAAGCTCGATTAGTGTGCTTGTTGACCTCGTATTTGCTGAGTGCTTGTAGAATACACTTTCTACGCATTATCAAGACTTCTTGATATAGTTAGCCGAACCGGGGACAGCGGTTAAGAATAGCCTATCCTGTCACCGCGTTAATTGTCATCGCTCCGTTTACCAAATAAGGTGAACTCCTAATAGTTCAAGCATATCAACTGACGTGTATATCAGTTGGCGACGGGGATGGGATCCGAACCCACGCGTGGAAACCCCATATATTTTTTACTTCAGCCTTTGGTTGGTTTGCGTTTAGCCCGAAGGTACCTTGTGTGCTAGGGGGGTGATGTGAGGTGCAGCGTGTGAGATTATTTGGAAGAAGAAAGAACAAGAGAAAAAGATGAGCCGACGACCCAGTAAGCACATAGAATGCACTTACATGCAATATACGAATAAATAGACAGATATAAAGCCTGCGTCAGATTAAGACAAACTGATAAACGAAACTAAGAGTTGATAGAGTTAGGTTTTGAATGCGTTACATATATAGTGCCAACTTTTGTAGGAATAGATAAATTATAGCTATCGGTAAAATCCAACATTACCGAAATCATGAATCAGTCATTGTAAGGCCAACACTAGAAACCTAAGAGTACAAGACAGCCGTTCTGTCCTGATATAGGACTCATCAGCAGTATGAACCCACGTCTCCTACTACTCGCAGGACTCGAACTCGGGATGTTCGTTTTTGCTCGCGAGCACCTAACATCTGGACTACTGGGTCGGTATGCAACGGTGTTAATGACTAACTTTGATCAATATAGGGATTTTACACAACCTCATCCATTTGTCTTTGGTAGTTACTGCCTACATCCGACAGGTTTGAACCCCACTAGTCACGCCTTCTCACTAGAATTCCAAGAATTTCCTTACGAAACTAGTCACTAGTGAGCACGTTGTACAACTTTTCATTATAGAGATTTGAAGGTCGTTGTTTATTACTGAAATCACGAACTGATCCTGCCCTATGCAGGATTCGAACCCAGTACTCTCAGTCTTGCGCGCGAAACACCCGTCCAGTACTTTCGGGTTTCTAGCGGTTGTTTAACAATGATTGATTCACGATTTCATTATTGAACATCAGTCTCCGTATTTCTACAGTAAAGAATCAAATATGCTAATTCTGACCTGTGTGATACTTTTTAGCAATTAAGCGATAGTTCAATTCCTTGCTAAGAGTGACAAAAATATCATACCCTCCTAACAATTAAGTGGTTATGCGAACTTAGTAGTCCGTTGGATAATGAGCTGGTGTTCGAAGTAAAATTTATTATGTTCAACTTCCAATATAAATAATAACCGTGGCATGTAAATCCTGGATACCATTGCATGCTATTGTCCAATTATTCTGATAAATTTCCAAGAAAATGACGAACAATATAAAACACAGTTCATATAAACAAAAAACTAGCAGTAGATGAAATTGTAATCTAAATATAATCAGTTTTAAGTTAAGAAGGACATTCTACAGGCCTCAATAACTGAATTTATGTTATGCATTGATGACTGTATGAGCGTGTTACCATCCACAAGATTCATAAATACATCAATACTATCATCATTTTCGACTATGTAGTATAAAAAATGTTTACTTACTTACTTATGTCTGTTGCCCCCAATAGAGAATAGGCCACCGACCAGCATTCCCCAACCTACTCTATCATGGGCTTCCCTTTACAGTTCTGTCCAAGTTTTGTTGGTTCTCCACGGGTCTGTCTCCATTTTTCGGCTTGATGTGTTCTCTGGCCTTCCACCCTTCCTATTGACCTTGAGGGTTCCAAGTGTGAGTTTGTATTGTTACGCAGTTGGGTGCTTTCCACAATGTGTTTCTTATCCACTTCCACCGATTCTTCCTGATTTCCTCCTCCACTGTATTCTGGTTTGTTCTTTATTACAGTAAGTTGTTGCTGATGATATCTGGCTCACAGATCTGAAGTATTTCGCGTGGACAACTTTCAATGTATACTTGTTTCTTCTGGATGATGGCTTTGATAGTTCTCCAAATTTCCTCCCCCTGCATTAGTACTGTCTTGACATTTGTATTGAAAATTGTGATATTGGTGTTGGTTGATAGTTGTTTTGAGTTCCAAATGTTGTTCAATTGTAGAAATTCAGCCTTCGTTTTGCCAATCCTTGGTTTCATATCTGCATCAGATCTACCGTGTTCATCAATGATTTTGACTAGATATGTAAGGGTATTTACATTCTCCAAGGCCTACCCATGAGGAATACGTGGTAAAGATTGAAAACCTACAAGTATAAGAAATACTTAATTTGCTAGAATGATAAAATCTGAATGAGTGATTACAGAATTCCAAACAGTATTGGTTTAGCAGTTTCTTTTTGTGAAGTTTCAGTGGACCTTGAAGTTTTGTAGATTCAGTCTATTTTTTACTCCATTTAATTAGAAAACTTCCTATAGATTCAGGTAGATTATTGAACAAATGAAATAACCTAATAGTAATTGGTTTTACATAAGATTGAATTAGGAATATTTATGTTTTATGTTAAACTACTTATTTTTGTTTAAGTAGACATCTACAGTAAATATCAAAAAACGATGTTGCCATTACTTCGCGATCATATCACAAAAAACCTTCGCTCTTATTACAGATTTTATGAAGGACATAGTTGTAAAAAAACGATTTAAATTCTTCTCGAAACGGCAGATATATCAAAAAGCTATTGACAAAGGTTATATAACTCAAGAACTATCGAATAGAAAGTAAACTTGAACTATTAAAGATTAACAATTTCTAAGACAAATGTACAGGTTATATCATAAAGATTATGCCGATTTTTATATTTTTCGATTAGCGCTCTTTTATCGAGTTAGTTTTCTATGGGATGGGGTCGTCAACCCCACATCAACTTTCCTCCTTTTTTCAGGCTTGGGTTCAGCAGTGCCGTAGACGGTCTTCAGACATTATTAATGTTTAGGTTTTATTAATATCATTACAATTTGCATATAAAATTATGATGGATTCTGCACATAATGTTACATAAAAGTAGAATATTGCCTAGTATGTTATAGTTCGCTTATTACTGAAGACTAAAAACATCTAGGCAACAACAAGTTTGAATCCCATTTCTTTTAGTTTGTATAATGTGATCATAAATGTATTTCCAAATAAATAGCTCTTGTAATAATCATCATGATAAGAATGTCAAATAAGTAAATTTGAATTCTAAAAACTGAAACTTCCTGTGCTAAATATGAAACCAATAGAAATTATTGTGTGTATTCTTATCTGTAAATTGTGGTACAAAGTGAAACCAAAAAATATACTACAAAATACTGAGTAATGCAAAAAGTACACCAAAAAAAAAGAAGAAATTAGAATATACAAAACAGATATTCATTTAACATAAAGTAGAATCAAATAACCAATAGCGAAAATAATGATAAAACGTATTTTACTACTTAATAAATGAAAGTAATATAAAATATATTAGGAAACGCAAAAAGCAGGCGATACTGTCGGAAATCAGCAATTGTTATTGTTATTGTTCTATATCATTTACACAATTCAAATTTAAAATACATTACAAGACTATCAAGCTTTTCAAATGTATAAATTCATTCATTCGCGACACATGAAAATTAAACAGCCAATAGAAATTATTAATATTTTTTGAAACCATGAATCGATCTATGTTAGACCACCATTAGAAACCTGGGTTTCAGAAATGTGTAACTTAATAATCTTCACAACGCCGTAATGCAAATTACCTGTGTCCACTGGTGACTAGCTTCGTGAGGAATCTTTTACGAGTTCTAGTGGGAAGACATGACCAGTGAAGTTCAACCTGCTCCCGTGTAGACAGTAACTACCGAAGACTGTGTATGAGGTTGCTCAACTCCATGAATTGATCAAGTTGGACATTAACACCGTCAGATACCGGCTCAGTGGTCCGATGATTAGGCGTTCGCCTACAGTACCGAAGGTCTTGGGTTCGAATCCTGCGAGGTTAAGGAGTCGTGGATGCACACTGCTGAGGGGTCCCATACCAGGACGAAACGGCCGTCCAGCGCTTTCAGGTTTTCTAATGGTGGTCTAACATTGATCGATTCATGGTTCCAAAAATGTGTAACTTAACAATCTTCACAACCCGTAATGTAAAGTATTAATAATCATATAAAATTGTTGTCAGTTTCAAATAAATGTTACAATATTATTTGTGTGTACAAGTAATGTTGAACTGTAATTAAAAATTTGTCCAGAGTGATTTACAATGGTGTTTTGAGTTTATTGTATAAGTTGCAATCATCTCACAGAGAAATATGAGAATCAGGTAGAGTACTGAACTAATTTTACTTTTCTTTTTACAGATATAATTAAGTCTTATATTCTCCACCATTAGAAACTTGGAAGCACTGGACGGTCATTTCCTCCTGGTACACGACTCATCAGCAGTATGCATCTATTACTCCTACTACTCGCACGAACAGAGCTCAGCAACTTTGGTTATACGCGCGAACACCCAACCTCTGGACTACTGATTTATTTGTTTATAACTTCGAGTTTACCAGTTTCCCTTTATTTGT